CTGGAATGCCTTACCAAGCTCTTCATCACAGAATAGTGTCATCTGGGATTTCCAAAGTTAACAGGCGTGAGTTGTTTCAAAGGAGAAGACCTGCTTTCAAATTTCAGTATTGGCTTGCTAATTAAAAACAGGTTCCATCTGCTCTGGGCCCCGGAAATGGAGCCCCTTCCCCAGTCTCTCTTTTTTTAATCTTCATTCAAGGACATGTTTTTACTGATTTTGAGAGAGAGAGACACCTATCCTTTGCCTCCGTGCGGCCCTTCAATCTTTTGGTGCCTATGACGGTCCAACCAACTGAGCCAACCGGCCAGGGCCCCAGACTCTGTTTTAAACATTTCAAAGAAAAGTTACAATGATGCCAGTGTTTTAGACCTGAGATAAGTGGTACAGTTATTAAATATAAATACTTCATAAAAGGTTATTACTAATATTTTAATTGCATTTTTAAAAGCAGATTTTACAAAAAGCATTTATTGAGGTATAACTGACATACAACCAACTGTGTATGCTGAAGTTGGATAATTTAAGGTTGCATCTGTATACAGCTGGGAAACTATCTCTAACCAGTATATTGAACACATCNGACCAGTATATTGAACACAACCGTCACTCCCCGCATGATGGAAAAGTCAGCACATTTGTATTTGTTCCCTCCTCTCTATTTTCCCTTCCTCGAGCAACCGCAGGGGTTATTTGCAATTTCTAGAATTTTATATTCATATATTCACACAGTATGGACCATTTTTTTCTATCTGACTTCTTTAGCACAGCACAGTCCTTTTGAGATTCACACATGTGTAAAAACGGTTAATTCCTTTTTCTTGCTGAGTATATTACATCATATAGATGTACCACAACCTGCTTGTCCATTTCTAGTTATTGACTATGATTTCCAGCTGTTGAGTATCACAAATAAGATATCATTAACACTTGGATATAAGTCTTAATATAGACATGTGGTTTTATTTCTCTTACAGCTTGCTTTTTAAAACAAGTTATTTGTCTTTCATAGATTCAAGATTTAAGTTACTGATCTGAATGGGAGTGGTAAAGGAGGGAGATACCTGAGAAACTATGAGTCACCTAGAGATTACTGCATCTCTGGAAATTGTAATCTGCTTTTCCTGGTGGTATGCCAACCTACCTACCTGCCTGTACGCAGAGGGCTGGTTATCACCCTGGCGCACGTGGCTCAGTGGTTAGTGTCGGCCTGTGCACTGGAGGGTTGCAGGTTCTATTCCTGGTCAGGGGTGTGTACCTGGGTTCAGGTTCCATCCCTGCCCCCCGTAGGGGTGCTTGTGGAGGACAACCAATAGATGCGTCTCTCTCACATCGATGTTTCTCTCTCTCTCCTTCCCCTCTCCTTTCCACTCTCCCTCAACAAAAAATAAAAAAATAGAAAAATAAATCAATGGGAAAAATATCCTCACTCCTTGGGTGAGAATTAAAAAAAAAATTATTAACAAGCTGTTTGAGTTCCACCAGAATTTGGTTTCATCTTAATTGTTCAAGAATAGGATCACAAACGACTTTCCTCGCTTTACCACGCGCGCTAGGGCATTCCTGCTGCTGTGCTTGCCGTTTTTTGTTTCGCCCCCCAGTTCATCCACTTTAGAATGTTTTTTCTGTTACCTTTATTACACCTACTACAGAAAATGTCCACTTTGTAGGTTAGGTCGCAACATGAAAGAGAGAGAGAAAGCGGAGTGTGATTCAGGGGGGAAAGGGACTGGGAAGACCTTCGCTTTGGGTGGACATGGCCTTTTTGTTGAGCACTGAGAGCACTTATACTCTGAAAGAAGAGCCTCAGGGTTGTCCCTCTTTGTGATCATGATTTAATTTCGCATATCTTGACAGTTCCTACCAATATCCCATATCTGTGACTTCCTTCTTGTCTCCTTCCCAGGCATGATGAAGCCCAAACCCTCTTCTCTTTCTGGGTGCTGTGTGGGCTTTCTTCTCTTACAACTGATGGCATCAGCATCAGGTAAGACCATCTACTTTTTTCTCACTGAGTCACAGCTATGGAGAGAACCGAGGGCACATTTCCTGTGTCCAGTTCAGCATGTAAAGAGCTTGGAAGTCATCAATGCATCCTAACATCAAGTTAAAAAGGTGAAAAAAACTGAAAATCAACAAATCTTTTAGGTCCAACAGGGAAGTGAGGTCATAGGACAAATTGCTGTCCCACAAATGGGGGAGTTAGGCAAGTGGAGAGTTAGAGACTCACAACCTCCACACTAGAAACCTCTGTGGAAACCAGTGCAAGGGTAGAGAGATCTAAGCTGAAATTACTGAATTGCTGGAGGCTCAGAGTGGACAAGTCTGAGAGTTAAAAGCTCCTACAAGGCCCAGTCATGGGAGAGCTCACTTTTGTGAATTTTGCCTCCAGGATTTTTACTAGGATCTCACAGTGAATATTGGAGAAAAATCCCCTCATGCTTTAGGCAGGGGAAGGGGAAGAGTAACCATTGTGAAATATGATCTTGTTCTTTTTTATTTTTAAATTTTATTTTATTTTTTCCCATCACCATTTATCCCCTCTATGCCCACTTCCACTTCCCCTCCCCCTGCAATCACCACACTGTTGTCCATGTCCATGAGTTCTCTTTCCTTTTTTGTTTTTTGCTCAGTCCCTCCACACACACACACACCCACACACACACACACACGGCCCAACATTCCCCACCACCACTGCCGCCACCAGAGCTGTCTGCCTGCTCTCTGTCTATGAGCCTGTCTCCACTTTATTTGAAAGTTCAGTTTNAGGGGAAGGGGAAGAGTAACCATTGTGAAATATGATCTTGTTCTTTTTTATTTTTAAATTTTATTTTATTTTTTCCCATCACCATTTATCCCCTCTATGTCCTCTTCCACTTCCCCTCCTCCCGCAATCACCACACTGTCCATGTCCATGGGTTCTCTTTCCTTTTTTGTTTTTTGCTCAGTCCCTCCACACACACACACACCCACACACACACACACACGGCCCAACATTCCCCACCACCACTGCCGCCACCAGAGCTGTCTGCCTGCTCTCTGTCTATGAGCCTGTCTCCACTTTATTTGAAAGTTCAGTTTATTCATTAAATTCCACATATGAGTGAAATCATAGGGTACATGTCTTTCTCTGACTGGCTTACCTCACTTAGCATAATGTTCTCCAGGTGCCTCCAAGCTGTTGCAAAGGGTCAAATTTTCTTTCTTTTTACAGCAGAGTAGTATTCCATTGTGTAAATGTAAAACAGCTTTTTCATCCACTCACCTCCTAATGGACATTTGGGCTGCTCAACACCAAAAAACAACAACCAGTAAAAACAATCCAATTAAAAAATGGGCANGAGGGTAAAATTTTCTTTCTTTTTGCAGCAGAGTAGTATTCCATTGTGTAAATGTAAAACAGCTTTTTCATCGTCTCACCTACTAATGAACATTTGGGCTACTCAACACCAAAAAAAAAACACACTAAAAACAATCCAATTAAAAACTGGGCAAAAGACCTGAATAGACACTTCTCTAAAGAGAACTTACAGCCCAGCAGGGCGTGGCTCAGCGGTTGAGCGTCGATCTAGGATCCAGGCAATTGGGGGTCAATTCCCGGTCAAGGCACATGCCCGGGTTGTGGGTTCGATCAATGACCCTCTCATCATTGATGTTTCTATCTCTCTCTCTCCCTCTCCTTTCCTCTCTCTGAAATCAATAAAGATATATTTAAAAAATAAATAAATAAATAAATAAATAAATAAATAAATAAAACATATAGATGGCCAGTAGACATATGAAAAGATGCTGAACATCACTAATAATCAGAGAAATACAAATTAAAACCACAATGAGATATCACCTCATACCTGTGGTTTTCTTTTAGTGCATCTTAGAGTTTGTTGAACTTCATAGATGTTTATAGTCATGTCTTTCATCACATTTGGGGAGTTTTCCGCCATTATTATACCAAATATTCTCTCTGTCCTTTTCTCTCTCTCTTCTCCTTTTGGGACTCATGGAATAAATATTTTGGTCTACTCAATGATGTCCCACAAATCTTTTTTTTCAATTTTTCTTCTGTCTGTTCCCCAGACTGAATAATTTCCATTGTCCTGCCTGCAAGTTAACTGATTCTTTTTCTTCCTGTTTAAATCTGCCTTTGAATCCCTCTAGTGAATTTTTCATTTCAGTTGTGTTTTTTAGCTCCAGAATTTCCTTTTGTTTTCTTTTTAGGTTTTCAGGTCTGTCTTTATATTTTCATTTTGTTCATACTTTTTTGTTGTTGACTATCTCACTTCTTCCTATAGTTTTCTGAGCAACTTTAAGACAGTTATTTTAAAGTCTTTAATTGTAGATCTGCCATCAGGTCTCTTTCAGGACAGTTTCTATTTATTTATTTGATCCTTGGACTGTGCCATATTTTCTTGTTTCTTTGTATGTTTTGTGATTTTTTTTAAATGAAAACATTGGAATTTAAAGTGTTAACTCAAAATCTGATTCCCGTTCTCTTCCAGGATTTGTTGTCTTTCAGTTATTGTTTTTGTTTTGATTTGTTTTATTGTTATAGGCTGTCTGCATGCCAAGGATCAGCTTGAGGTGTAAGCTTTCTGTCTCCTCAGGTCTTTTCTGAGCCTGTCCCTTTTCCTGGATATATGTGGTCACTTTCTAATTTCCCCCATATAGGCCCTTGCTTTTGAATGTTCTAATCTTTAATGTCTGGTTCCCAAAAAGGAAAAAGAGAAAAATGAAGTGTTGAATGAAAGGATGGTGATCCTTTAAATACCCTGAATGTCACTTTAGTTAGAGAGGAGCAGCTTGAAAAAATAAGAAAAGGTACAACAAAAATGGCCACTTGCCTCTTTGACCTCCAATCTCTGTGATTGGAAGCAGCAATCAGCCAGCAATCATAGCTCACATCCCTGGTATTTGAAGGACAGGGTCCTTTTTGCTTACTTGGGCTCCCATAAGCTATGTGAAAGCTCCTCCAGGGAGAGTTGCCCAGCTGAGGGTGGGGGATGGGTATAAACTACTGTGATACCAGCTAGAATTGACCAAAATTAATGCAGTCTACAACCACACTTTATCCTGGAAGTTGAAGGCCTCCAATAGGCTCCAGAGTTCCAAAATATGCCCTCTGACAGAATCTGCCAGTGCAATTGTTACCTAGGTAGAGGGTCAGATTGCTGGTACTTTCTGCTCTGCCATCTTCCCAGAACCCAAGTGAGTATATTTTAAAGAAAATAATGTAGTAACAGAGGTCTTTAAAATTAATAAAATATTGATTTAAACAGAAGGGGATATATTCAGAGCTGAATATTTAGAATGGCTATGTCAGATAGGAAGAATACAGCATGTCTTTCACTATATAGCAACAAAGATGTGGTTGGCCTAAATTTTATCCTACTTTTCTATCTTTCTCTACAGAAAGGTGGACAGTGACCATTCCCACGGGACACTTGGTGGCTACAGTAGGAGGAAAGACTGAGCTTAGCTGCCAGTTGTCCCCACCACAAAGTGCAGAACACATGGAGGTGTCCTGGTTCAAGGGTGACCGTTCCAGGCTTGTTCACCTATACAGAGATGGCCATGAAGTGAAAGGAAAAGCTGCCCAGGAATATGTGGATCGCACAGAGTTTGTGAAAGAGGCCATTGGGGAGGGCAAAGTGACTCTCAGAATTCATAATATCAGCATTTCTGATAGTGGACTGTACCAGTGTTCATTTAAGGACGGTAACTTCAGTGATGTGGCCAGCATGAACCTGAGTGTAGCAGGTAGGTTTATGATAGAACATTGCATGTCAATGGCCTTATGACCCTATGGCTGAAATACGTGGAAAATATATCATGTTTAAATCTCTTGTCTTTTTTATATTTTACTATTTCAAGTGTTATAAATAGAAGATAACCCCTTATGTCTAATGCAAAATATATACTATGCAGTAAATGAACAGTGCCGAGTGACCAAAGATAGTCTAACTTGTAGCTTGGATGTGGATTTGAGTATTACCCCATTTATATTGCAGAATACAAGATTAATGAAACCCTTTTCCTTTCAACTTTCAACTCAACCTCAATACAATAACTAACTTGATTCTGTCTCACTTGCCCAGCATTAGGCTTGGGGACACAGATCCATATTCAGGCGCCTAGCGCTAATGGACTTAAAGTCGAATGTGACTCAGGAGGCTGGTTCCCACAGCCCGAGATGGAGTGGAGAGACAGCAAGGGAGAGGTAGTTCCACATTCATCAAAATCCTATGCACAGGATGGATCCGGATTATTCCACGTGAAGATGACTCTTCTCCTCAGAAACAAATCACAGGACCATGTGGTTTGCTACATTCGCAACCCTCTGTCAGGCAAAGGGAAACAAATAACTCTCATCTTAAATGGTAAGTGTTTGGTAGGGTTTCTTTGTCAATAAAGCAACATATAGAGAAAATAAATGAGATAATTAATGTTAAAAAGCTTTTACATTATCAGGCACTATTTGAATGTGACTCTTCATAATTGTTACAGGCTTTGGTACACAGATATTGTCAGGTGCTGAGAGGAAGGCCTTAAAGGAAAAAATTTAGATGGATAATGATAACCCATAACTGAAATACACATGACAGCTTTAAGGGAAAGTTCATTATCTCATTGGACCCTCAGGATATTACCAATACAAGAACATCCAAATGTGAGAGAATTTTTATGAGTTTATTTGAGCCAAACTGATGACATGCCTGGAAGCAAGATGTCAAATGCTCACAAGAACGACAGTTTTGCAGTTCTTTTTATACATTTGGAATTAAGGAGGGAACATAAGTAAGATTATATGAATGTGGAGAAAAACAAGGCAGGGAAGTCTCTATGATTATATTACATGATAGTTAACAAGATTGTGTGATCCATTGAGGGTAGTTGTGCATCCCAGGAGTCTGAAAAAGAGGATTACTCTGGCATTTCAATGGTCTGTTAACCTAGGTGCACAAAAGCATGAATAAGTCTTGCTTAAGGTATAAACAAACCTTTTACTAAAGAAGTTATAGGCCTAGGGTATAATTACCCACCATGACCTGCCCAGTAACCCTGTGAGGTTACTTTTGGTCACTGATTTCTTACGGAGGCCCATCTTCATTCACAGATTTCATGTGTAAGCTTAACAAGTCTTTAGCTCAGTGACTTAAAAGATGCCACCAACCTTCTTGATTATAGTTTTCTCATCTTAGAAAGAAGTCTAATCATACTTCTTGGGGTTCTGTGACATTTTGTAATACAAATGTTTTAGTAGAAGCAAAAATTGTTGTTTCCTGTCATGTAACATTCAGTACTAACACTGTCTTTAAAACTTCCTGAAAGTTCAGTAAAAAGGGATTATTATGGCCATCTATAGGTAAACAGAGGTTGAGAGAAGCCCGTCAAACTGACAGTAAGTAAAATGTGGAACTAAAGCACAGGTTTCTGATTATTGGTCAATATATCAATATATCACCTTCATGGTGGGTGGACATCAAAGGCCAAACAGGAGAAGGCTATGTCCTATGTGTGACAAAGGTGCCCTTAGCTAACACCTGTGCAGAAGTCTTAGGTTGGTTACAGAAGCAGAGTGGTGGGTCTTCCGGTGTCACTTCACAGAGCCTCTAGCCTGATTGAGGGACAGCCTTTTCTCTTAAAAGTCTTCTCTAATCCTCTTGGAGGATTAGGAAATGGACTGGGGGAAAAAAAAAAGAATGTTACCCTGACTAGATAGGCGTCTATAACAATGACCTGGGAAATAGGTATAGCAGAAAAGATAGTAAGAGTCGGTAAGATTCTATAAATATTTTAAATGGAGTGCTGGTGGGACTTACTGATGGATTGAATATGTGATGTAAGAGAAAGAGAGGAATAAAGAATAATTCTAAAGTTAGGGGCCTGAGTGATGAAAGGTAAGTTTTCATCTACTGAGAGGGGGAAGTGTGTGAGATGAACATATCTTGGAGATAAGTCCATGCTTATAAGACATGCCAGTAGAATTGTTGACGGTGAGTTAATATTTTGTGGAAGGTCCAAGGCTTGAGACATAATGTGGATGTCTTCAACCTAAGAAGAATATTTACAACCATGACACTGGATAAGATCACAGAAAGATTGAGAACAGAAAAAATAAAAAATCAGGATCCTAGAACTGAATTTTGGAGCATGCCTTTTAGCTGTCCTTTAGGTAAATAAGAGAAACCTGCAAAGTCTGAGAAGGAATGAGGAGAGAGTTTGGAAAAAAACAGACACAGCAGGCAAAGTGCAATATTCAGAAGTATTTGTTTTGATCTCACCCTTTTATCAATGGTAAAAAATAATTTCCTTTAGACCCTCTTTTTAATTTTTTGATATTTCCTACTGTTTCACTAAAGAGAATTGTTTCTTATGCAAATTAATAAGAATTATATAGATAAATTCAAATATTAGTTTCAGATAAGATTCAAATTGTAATAGGCTTTAAAAGAAGCATAATATTTGAAAAACAGAGCCATATCTGATGCAATTAAATGAATAATGTCTAAAATCAAATTATATCATAATTAAATTTTGGAGAAAAAGGCTTTCATGAACTAGATGAGCAGTATTGTTATCATTTTTCACATTTTATGTAACAAATGAAGCTCTCAAACCTTTATGTAATTCACAAATATTAAAACAGTTTAAAATTTTAACATAAACATGGAATCTGCAAAAACACTTCATGGCAAACTTTGATTTTCTGGAAAAGCTATCCAAAAAATGTTGTTGCTAACATTCAAAAGTAGCAAATATATGGTACAGGCAAATATGCAACCAAAAGAAAAATATGTAAGATATTTTCCTAATTATGAACTAGGACAAAGAGGTTAAAATCGCCAAGGAAAATCTGGGGGAAAAACAGCATGGACTTAACATTAGCCACAAAATAGTCACAAGGCAGGTACAGAACCTACTTGAAAAACAATATATACTCTATCTAAAACACTTCAAAAGAACATAAATGTTTGTGGAGGACTACTGTGTTTTAAATGGGAATATTTGCATCTATGAAGATATATATCATCTAAAATCAATATAATCATTTCATTATAGTCAGTTTTAAAATAGTTTTTTAATTTTTAAATTATAATTGACATACAATATATTAGTTTCACATCTAAAACACAGTGGTTAGACATTTATATAACATACAAAGTGATCACCCGAAAAATTCAGTTCCCACTGGGCGCTATACATAGTTAATACAATATTATTGACTATATTCCCTATGCTATACTTTACATCTCCATATAGTCAGTTTTTATCTGATAAAATAAATTCTACCTCCTCATTATTATTATTTTTTAATCCTCACCCGAGGATATTTTTTCCCATTGCTTTTCAGAGACAGTGGAAAAGAGAGAGAGGGAGAGAGAAACATCTATGTGAAAGAGACACATGGATTGGTTGCCTCTTGCACACACACCCCGACCGGGCCAGGGATCAAGCCTACAACTGAGGTACTTATGTGCCCTTGACCAGAATCGAACCTGAGACCCTTCAGTCCATGGACTGACACTGACCACTGAGAAAATCAGCTAGGGCGTCTTTATTTATTTAAACTTTTTTCTACCATTTGTAGATATTCATTCTTCCATACTAACTTCAAAATTACTTTATCCAACTTAAAAAAAAAAAAAAAAAAAAAAAAAAAAAAACTTCCAAAGTATTTCTCTCTGGAATGTCTTTATAAATAAAGAAAGTAATTATGAACAATGAGCAGTTAATAATTTGTGGTAATTCATGAACACAGAATATTATTCACTGTCACAGGAATAGATCATTGTACTAATAATAAAAGTCAGGAAAGGTAGAAAGAGATCCAGATCATAAGGAAATGGTGTATACCAAATTATAATGTATGAATTTTGATGCATTATTAAAAAAAACGAGACATTTAATGAATTATTAAAAAGATGAAACAAAATAATTGACTATACCTTGGGAAGAAAAAGACTCATGCATGCAAATATATACAAAAATAAATTTCATATGGGTTAGAAGTTAAATGCTACAAATGAAACAAACATTTTTGAAGGAAAATCCTGTATTAGAGATGCTTCATCAAAAATATGATCCATAGCCTAGCCGGTGTTGTTCAGTGATTGAGCATTGACCCATGAACCAAGAGGTCCCGGTTCAGTTCTCAGTCAGGGCACATGCCTGGGTTGCAAACTCAATCCCCAGTAGGGAGCATGCAAGAGGCAGCCGATCTATGTTTCTCTCTCATTGATGTTTCTATTTCTCTATTCCTCTCTCTCCCTCCCTCTCCAAAAAAAATCAATAAAAACATTTTTAAAATATGTATATAAAACATGAAAGAAAAGAAAGGTCTATCTGTCTTCAATATCTTTACACCCTAAAAGCTCTCTAGAGACAATTCTGAGGCTGTCTTAT